CCACCTCTACCTGTCGACCTGGGAAGCATCATCTCAACTACAGGCGGATGGAACTGACGAGGATGTCAAAGCGAGGATCAGGAAAGCATAGCAAGCTTTCATTACTCTCAAGTCTGTGTGGAGACCAACAGCACTCAGCATGAAAAATAAGATGTGGATTTTCAACTCCAATATGAATTAAGTGTTACTTTATGGATCAGAGACTTGGCCAGCGCGTCACGAAGGCCACTTCGAACAAACTACTTCAAATAAAAGTATGCGCTGAAGATGTTGAATAATAAAACTATGAAGATCACTTAGCAGTTTGTATATTCTGTTTATTTTTCTTATTCCATTACATTCCCAGTGGAACATAGGGCTTCAAGATAGAGGTTTGAAGTTTATGTAGTAGTTGTGTTTATTTTTACGAGATGGGGTTGCTAGCCTTGTGCCCAACATTCCCTCTTTACTGGTCTTATTACTGGCTTAGTGAGGTGGAGGAGTGCGCCAGCCGGGGATCGAACCCCGGACCACATGGAGCGTGGTTGGAGAGCATTCTACCGCTGTGTTACCAATGCCTGCGCATTCTGAATTCCTTAACATTCCACTGTGCTGTCCGTAAGGATTCATTTTATTAGATTCATACTGTCTTTGAGCTACTAAGTAGTATATTAAGTAAATTAAGTACAAAGTATAATTCTAATTAGACAGCTTCAGGATATTATATACTACTGAATAATAAGAGTAGTTAGAAACTATTTACGAGAATCAATTACTCATTCTAGCCAGACTGAAATTATCTAAACACTAGAGATCAGCATTTTACCCTGTTCAGATGAATTATTTGGAATCGACATCATGCAATTAGGCTTGCCTATTTCCTCGACTTTCATTTATGGTATCAAGCGGATCTCATATTACAATTCAAATATTATTTTACGAGTTGATCAAGGATTGATATCAGCTAGAGAACCATTGAAAACCAGGGAGTACTGGACAGTTGCTGTTTCATCCTAGTTTGGGAATCATCGGCAGTACGCACCGATTGCCAGGGTTCGAACCCAGGACGCTCCGGCTGCAAGGCAAGCTTGCCTCAATGGTATACGAGCTTGCCTTTTAACTGGAAGGTCCTGACTTCGAACTCTGGCGGTGGGTGGGTACTGCCGATGATTCCCAAAATAGGATGAAACAGCTGGCTGTCCAGTACTCTGGTGCTGGTTTTCAATGGTTCTCTAACTGATATCAATCCATGATCAACTCGTAAAAACATAACTAACCCTTACAAACCAAACTATAGAAAAACAATTCAAATATGTTTTTAATTTCGTAGGATAATCAAAGAGAATTTTCCCTTTGGGACTGTTTAATTTGTAAATATGATGTAAATTTGAACTTGATGCTAGCGGGATAATAAATGGCAGGTTATTTGTATTCCGATGCAAAATGAGTTTTGTGAAGAGAATTTTTATAAGGTGAAAAAGAGGGAAATATTCAAATCAGTTTTGTTATGTTAAAAGGTTATGTTAAAAAGAGATATGTGAACATTTTTGAAGGATTGAGTTTATAAGCTTGAAAATATTTCACTTGTACGGAAAAACAATAGTATATTGGTATGGAAGTTTGCTTAGGAGCATAACATATTATATATAAGCTTTCTAGTACTACTTAGTGAATTAGTCATTTGATTGAGTCTGACAAAAAGACTGATGAACTTTTCAAGTGTTAGCTTATAAGGATTTGATTTTTTTCCTGTTTGACCACTATTCAGCTCGCTAGTAACTGGCTACTAACAGCGAAGCTGACTGGAGTTTTTGTGAGAAATAGTGGCATGTGGGATGCATTCGGTCGTGGATGAGGACAAATACTAGCTAACAATAACACTTGCTGGTGCCAGTTGAGGCAAAATCACGAATTCGTAGAAGTTGGAATTCATTGTCCGTTGAGTTGGGTCCCAGTGTTTGTGAGTGGTATATAAGCTTGCCTGGTAACTGGAAGGTCGTGGTTTTAAATCCTGGTGGTGGACGCGTACTATCGGCGAGTGAGAAACTAGGACAAAACAGCATTACATTATTCCCTGGGGGATTTCACTGCTTCTCTAACTAATGTCAATCCGTAATCGAACTTGAGACTAACAATCATCAAATTAAAAACTCGTTTCTCTGACGGAATACATAAAATGAGCGCATACTATTACAGTCGCCGATTCGAAAACTCGGAGTTGATATCTTTAACTGCAGTATTTTATGAAGTGGAATGAAATCACCGAATCATCATCAGTTCCCTGAAGGTTGTAGATATGTCTAAATGATAAGGGCTAGTAAGTACAGGGCCTCTTTCAAAAGCCTCCTACCAGTTGACTTCATCTCTTCAACACCTGTTTTGTCAATCACAAATTAATTATTTTGAGTAGTATATAACTACATGATGAGACGTAAAGATAGTAGTGATGTGACTATATTAACTCAATGATGGGGACTTCACCTGGGTAATTTTGAGAAGTGGATTATTTCGTAACAGTCTCATCAAATGTTATCAACACAAACTAAATCTTTCTGAAATACATCTCTTCAATTTTTGGAATGCTTAGAAAACACTTTTAGCAGTAGTAATATCAAGTACTCAGTTAGTTAGCTGATATTTGATGGCTGGGAAGTTAACATTCACGTCAACTAATTAAATTACACAAATTCACACTTTACCTCACTTCTTATGTGGCATCTCTGTTACGAAATTAAGGGCATTCTGAAATACTAAGAAATCCATTGTTAACAGACAAAATAACTTAAGGCTGTTACTGATCAGATGAAACTGAAAGTTTTCAAGTATTGGTTTTTTGTAGGGATTTGACTGATTGGTTACAGGATTTCATCATGAACTGACATTGGTTAGAGAACCATTGACAAAAAATCTGCGAGTATTGGACAGCCATTTATTCAGTCTAGTTTGGGAATCATCAGTAGTACTCACCCACCTCCAGGGTTCGAACCCAGGACCTTCTGGTTACAAAGTGAGCTCGTGGACCATTAAGACACTGGGACCAGATCCAGCAGTCCATAAATTTCAACATTTGCCAATTCACGACATAGCACAGCCACCACCTTAATGGTCTGCGAGCTCACTCTGTAACCAGAAGGCTCTGGGTTCGAAACTCTGGGGGTGCGCAGTAATGAAGAGTTCTAAACTAAGGCAAAACAGCTGTCCAGTACTCCAAGGTTTTCCAGTGGTTCTCTAACTGATGTCAGCTCATGATGGAACTGAAAATATTTATATTATTAATATTTATATATTTCAGGACTCTTATAATGACTTGGAGGTACAGAGAAAAATTTTGAATGTATTTTAGTGTTATTATTTTATGCAAAAGCAACAGGGATCTTTGGGAACGAACCAACCAGGAACCGATTGTGAAACAAATAGGCAGGAAGAAATGGAGATGGATTAGCCATACTCTTAGGAAACCATCAAGTGACATCGCTAGACAAGCCATTGCTTGAGTGGAACCCGGAAGGGAAGCGGCGAGTTGGTTGTCAGTGAAAGGGTGACTTGGAGGAGGTCATGTGAAGAGGAGATGAAAACGTGTGGGCAGACTTGGAGCCAGGTGAAGACTCTAGCAGAGAGCAGAACGCAATGGAGACGCACGGCTGAAGCCCTATGTTCCTGTAGGAATTAAAGGATACAATAATAATAATATAATAATTTTATGCAAAGAGTTATAGCATCGTGATAAACTATTTCTTCTTCCGAACTCTTCAACCTTTGTGGCCGAATTCCTATGTTAAATGTTCAGAATAAAGTGGAATTCTGCTCTCTGATGAAAGCATACTGTCATATACTTGGTCTGTTCTAATACTGTATATGGGTAAGGCTGAGGTGTTGATAACTAAACGCAAATAGCTTACCAGTATGTTGACTAGTTTTGAATATATTCTGGATTTCGCGGATGATTTATATCTAATATCACATAGACTCAAAGATCTAAAGGCAAATACCAACAAACTGGAAGAAAAGGCAGCGAAGACAGGATTTTTGGTCAATATAGAAAAGACAAAGATGATGAAAATAACCAACCGACAAAACGAGCAATAGTCCTGATCAACGGGAGATTTTTTTAAGAGGTCACTTCCTTCACTTTTCTAGCTATTCAGTATCGTTTCAACTACAGGCGAATGCAAGGCCGCGTATATCAACGCCATAACGGGAAAGGTGAGACATACCTTCACTACTCTGGAATAAAGAACAAAGTTCGGATTTCAATGGCAATGTTTAGCTCCATATTGGAGACCAAATGACCTGTCAGAAAGACTTAGCCATAAGAAGCTTTGGGAACAAACCAACCAAGGATCTTTTGCTCAACAAATATGTAGAAGAAAATCCAGATAGATCGGATACACGTTGAGGAGACTGTTGGATGACATTGCTGGCAAAGCCATCTCTCGAGTGGAACCTGAATGAGAGACGACGAGTGCTGCGTCCAAGGGTAACATGGAGGAGGTTGTCTGAGGAGAAGATTATATGCTATGAGCAGCCGTAGCGCCAGCTGCATAGGATCACAGAGAATAGGACAAAGTTTAAGATGTTCTAATGAAGACGTTTACTTCACTCAGAACTCAAGGGAACAACAAATATAATGCTCCTTTGACTAGTACATGTGTAAAGCTTTCATCTGTTTACCAGGTATATAATTCAATGAAATGGCATTGAATATTTCATTCATTAAAAGTACTGTTACAATGTATACTGTATCTAATAAACGAATTAATATCGTGCTCTGCTAACTGCTGTTTATATTGTAACAAAATCAAACTTTTTGGTCAACTAAATACCTCATGAGAGGCTTTTCATCAGCAGTAGATCACTGCTCATTCCTATAAAAGTTACATAAACAAAACTAAAGAGTTTTATAGCTTCACTGTAAGACACCTGAAATTTAAAAAAAACATCAGACAACATGCCTCTAAATATTTCCAACAACTCACTGATTTTCATTTTCTCTCATTTCTTCATCTTTTTGTCATCTTTAGATTGTCGTTGTTATTTATTCACCAGTCAAATTCACGCCAATGGAACATTTAAATCTCCAAATTATAATATGATTTATGGAACAGTTGAACAGTATGAATGTATAGTGTACACATTCAAAGCTAAACCAGATGAGATTGTACATATAACATTCACCAGCTTTTACTTATCACGCCTTCTTCTACTTCATCCTTCAATTTCATCTTCTAAACAATATCATTATCAACAACAAACAAAGAAAAATTTGTAAGTTCCAGTTTTCCCCCCCTTTTCATTTTTATTATTTCTATAAGTGTATTATTTACATTATTGTAATGTCTAGTCAGAATGTTATTGATACAGTTCATCGGGACTGAAGATGAAATGAAAATCTGGGTCGCGGCAAGATTTGAGCTAGTGGCCTGTAACAAGGTGGTCATTCTACCGTAACTGTTGCGTACTGTATCTGATCTTGAGTGTCCGTTTCTTGTTTAGTGGAATTTACCTTATGAGGCCCTGACCTCCAAAACACGTGGTTGACTATTTCGGTGAATTTGTCGAAGTTGATGTCACTACCTCCAAAAGCGAGAATTTGTTGAATGTTTCTAGGCAGTTGTCTGATCCATATTTGATACAGGAGTTGTTTATCAGTTTCTCAGCCTGCTTCGAGGCTTCGCATGTGTCGTAAGAGTTGAGACGTCATTTTGTCTCCTAGTTCAACACTACTTAACAAGCGGTCTAGTGCTTGTATATCATAGGGTTATGTGCAACGTATTACTTCTTCTTTCAACTTATCTTAAGAGAATTCCTTGCTAAGATAGGTGATATATTGGTGTAAGTGTTCGGCAACTTCGTCTGGTGGGACAGTACTCACAAAACCAAATTTAGCATTCTGTAAAGTTAGCTTACTGGCAGTGAAATAGTGTCCAAGTCGAGAGATTCAAAATGTGAACCTGTATAATATAATTTCACAACAGTCAGAATGTAAATATTCCGGAAGTACTTATTTGAAAAGTTCGTCACACCACTTGTTGTGTACTGCATTCGACTCTGACCTGTATGCTATAATACAGCCACGTCTTCAGTTTATAGAATGTGCTAAACGCTTTTTATGACCAAATACCAACAACATTGTATTAAAAAGCACAAGTGAAAACTTGGGAAAGTGTATTGTCAGCAAAAGCGAACAACCAACAGTGCATAACCACTAAAAGTATATATAAAACAGTCGAAAACTAATGTTCAGTCATACAACGACAAATATTCGGTAAGCACATGTAAAATTACTTTCTGCACAAGCATAATATAGGAACATGAATTAGTTTTATAAGCGTTTTGGTTGTAGTTAATACAGAGGCACAACACAATCACCACAGGTAACGTGAATCAATGTTATCGTTAAAATGCAAGTGTTTTTAACTTAGCCATAAACCTCATTCGCCGTGAATATTTCCAACGTGGTCCAATGCATCAGCGGTTTAGTGGAAGAACACTGGCGAACCTTGTTAAGTGATACAGGGCCCGATTCCCCGCCGACGCACTTCTTTACCTCGACTAGCTGCTAATAAGTCTGGTAATGAGGAAAGGTTGGGCATGAGACTAACAACTCCATCCGGTGTAATAAAGCAACACAGCTACTGAAACTTCTAAGCTCTAACTTGAAGCCCTATGTTCCACTGGGGACTCAAAGGAATAAAATAAGTAATAAAAAATTTCCAACGTGACATTCTTTTGGAACCTTCGAGGTTTTTAATTCAAGAACAATCCTTATTCGAACATTAATACAGTAAAAGACCAGTAGTTCAGCGAAGAGTCTCTTCTCGACGAATTCATTTTCACAAATGCAGAATCACAAATATTTATTTTATTTTATTTATTTTGATTACAGCTTGATTCCACACCGTATTTTCAGTACAAGTATGGAATTTTCAGCACGGATATCGGTAGCCCAAATTTACAGGCCGCCCATAGATATCGGGTGTGCGCCGGCAGGGGATCGAACCCCTGGGTTATTTTGTACATGTGTGTACATTAAATTTGTCAAACGAAAATACACTTAGTAAGTCCTTGGCGGAGTTACGCAATACAAAACAGCGTTCAGAGGAATTGGATGTTGATATAAGAGGCTGATAACAAAAGTGATGAATTGTCACAAACGACTGTTAAAGAAAAGTGAAGTAATAACATGAATAGTTTAATGATAGAGCTGTGCTCAGGGTGTACATGGAAACAAAATAAAATATGGAATTAAGTCAGAGTTTTAAGTAGTTAGAAAAACAAGCAAACAAACAAAATTTAAGTCAAATCAACAGAGTTGTTACCATGATAGTAGAAGTGGTTGAATAATTTTCTTTTGTATGCATAGTTATGGTTCTTCTAACTGGATGGCTAGGGCTTCTGCAATACAAAGAAGATGGAAACGTATTGTCTTTGGCAGGTTGTTCTTCACTTTGAAGATTTCTTTGAAGGAGGTGTTTGTTGAGACTGAATGACCAGTGCTGACGAGATGTTCGATTATTGCACTCCTCCTACGGCCACTACTTCCTTTCTGCAGTCGCGCTGGACAGTGTTGTTTGACCCTTTTTGACAGGATGTGCGCTAAACGACCAATGTACCTGACTCCACAGCAACAAGTGAACTGATATATGCACACAGAAGTGATGAGGTGCGAGATCTTGTCCCTTGGGCTTCTGCAGATCAGCGGGCAACTGGAGGACACTACTCTCAATGTTGACACAACGAAAGAAAGTTCTTCTTAGAGAAGTGGAAATTCTCTAGGATTTCATTTGGACCTACCCCATAAATATCTTCATTTCAAAAACTAAGTTGCTCTACCACTGTCTTTTCAGAGTCCATTTATTTCAGAGCAGTTTTTATCAGGAACTTACAACTGATGAAGAAGCCATAAATATCTAGAATTAATAATTAGGTGTTCTGTCGCAGTTAAGGACTGTTTACCAGGGCCTATGTACACTGCAGACTGAGAAAGTAATCTTACTATTGTTTGTTTACACGGTTCTCGTTCATGACCTTGTGAAATGATGTAAATCAGCTTGATTTTAATATATATATGTTTCGTAACAATAACAGTAGCCTTATTCTGGATAATCTTCTCATTATGTCCAGAATTTAAATCAATGTTTATCGCAGGGTATTTCCCCTTCTTCCAGGATCCTCAAGGATAATGGAAATTCATAATAGATTGCTTAACACAGTACTGTCTGACTTGAAGCGCAAACCAATCTCTTGTGATGTTTCCTCTTTGTCTCCTTCGGTTAATGCACAAAATTTCAGGAATGGATTCTAAGAGCCAAAGCCAAAAACACTCAGGGACAGTTAGCTCGTGTATTGGGATAAGGCACCACCCAATTCATCTTTCTCCTCTAGTTTACTAAAAACTTGTAAATCAACACGTTGTAAAAATTTTCAAAATACCCGCCAGAGTAAATGATACCATTAGAGATCATATTTTAGCAGATTAAAATAAAGTGGAAAAGAGAAACCATATGCAATACACATTGATAAGGTTTCTCAGCAGTCAAAATTTTAGTCAGGCAGCTAAGTGAGTTAATTATCAATCGCTCACCTTAAAGTCGAACCCGTTTTACAAAAAGTATAACTCCTATTCATGAAATCACTTTAAGGAAGAACTTGAATTAAGGAAACACTAATTGTCTGCTCAGTTGCTTTTTACATACTTGTCTATTTTGTCTAATCTCACAATGAAACTTGATTTAAACTATAAGAAGGCATCCATCGCAAGCGTGCTAACAAGTTTCGTACAAGCCTGAACTACCATACACTACTGTTTGACGATTAACGTTATTATATGCTTATTAAAACTTAAAGGTGACACATTAATCACAACTAATTAGTATTAGAAGAAAAATACTTTTGAAATTAGCATTCCAATGTCTCATTTGCTGAAGAATTCATTTGTTTCAGCCTTTTCTCATAATACGTGGATGGCTTCATTAATGTTTCAGGTAGCAGATTAGCGACTCAATAAATGCTAAAAAAGATGTTTTATACATATATATATTCACTTGTGTCAGTGATGAATCTCGAAGAAACACACAAAAACAGATTTGAAAGGACTTCCTACCACCTGTCATAAGACAAAATTGAACAAAGCAAAAAAGACAAATGTACCAGGATAATACGAGTTCATGTTTTATCATTTTGAGGATTCTTCTCAACTGGCCACAACCTGAACAACACAAAAATTAAAAATACATTAAAAATTTGAACTTACTTTCTCCACGATAACAAAGAATAATTGGTAGGAGGTAAGAGTAAAATTAGTCCAGGATGATGTGAGCTGTTAAATAATAACTCAGAGTCAGAAGGATTGACTATCTATCGGTTGATTAGAAGAAAATGCTTGGATACAAAAGGACAGAGTTCCACAGACCTCTGTGAGTGGAAACAGAGCTTAACTAGGAAGATTTAGTACATGTTTCCTGTTAGTTAACAGTCGAAATGAAGAGATTAGTTACTAGTCTGCAATTAAGTAATTCTCCCCTCATATAATTTACAATTTAAACTTATTTATTTTACTACACACACCAGTGGTGAATCATAATTTGTACAGGGCTCTCTCATTTTCAATGAATCTCTTATCGATATGAGGTGGAGACGAAATATCCAATGAAGATGATTATGGTAGTTACAGTAATAACGCCTTTTTTACCCTTCACGTTCCCCAGTGGAACATAGAGCTTCAGGCTAGTGACTTGAAGTTTCTGTAGAAGTGTTTATATTACAGGATGGGGTTGCTAGCCTCATGCACAACCTTTCCTCTTCACCAGCATTATATCTGGCTTAGCGAGGTAAAGAAGTGCGTCTGCTGCCGGGAATCGAACCCCGGACCATGTGCATGGTCAGCGAGCGTCCTAACCGCTATGCCACCGACGCCCAATAATGCCTATATTCTAGAAAATATACCATTTCATAATACAGAATTCCTGCGCGTTTTAATTGGAAAATATATGCTTTTTGTACAAGATAAATACTTTGTGCTAAATATGGCGCTGAAGATGTTGTCCGGAAGGACGACGAAAGCTTCGCGACTAACCAACCAGCTCAGAGAACACTTTTAATTGCAAATAAATATCATTCGATGATGTGTTCTCCCCTTTGAAGAAAGATGCAATTTCCTATGACACTTTTAATTTGTTTCTTTTTTAATTGTGCACAACATTATGTTGAAAGCTAATTAAAAATGTGCTTGAGTATTTCTTTGGATAATTTAATCAATTAGAAAT